AGCAATTAAAAACGCAGAGAGACAAAATAAAGCAGTTTATTCGAAGAAAGGAAAAGGATATGGAAAAGGAAAAAGAGTTGGCTCGACAGCTGATCAAGGATGGAAGAAAAGAGTGTGTTTGTACTGGACAAATCTCTTTAGAAGATTTACATCATTCATTTTCAGTCGTGCCCTTCTTCTTCTGAAAAAGAAAAGGTATCAAGAAAATGTTATTGAACAAACCCTACGGCATTTAGACAATATCGATAGAATGGTATGTTACTATCAGAACATTTTTTTGAATTTATTGAGCTTTGTAATCTACAGGTGCACGATTTGGAGTTTGCCGATATCCAGCAACGAGTTGTTGAGGGACTTCGCCAAGGAAGTGATGCACTGAAGAAGATAAATGCGGTAATTTCATTTTTTATACTTATCTTCTTGAATGGGTAAAAGTTCAGTTTGTTCATAAAATAGTCTGCTAATCTGTACATTGCATTATCGATCTTACTACTTGTAGATATTTGATCTTGATGAGATTGAGAAACTCAAGGAGGAAACCAGAGAAGCTGCTGAATATCAAGAGGTTAGTTTTCCTCTGGTTCAATTTTTTTTCTCAAAATGTTTGTAAACTTTAGACTTTCTAAGCACATAGTCTCTCCACACTTTTGTATGACACTTGTCGAATAGTCGCATGCTACAGCTTTGCTTCTAAGACACCATAACAATGTTGTAAAGCACTACTTCAATAAGCAAGTGTAAATTTTGTTAATTTTCATGGAAATAATCATCTTGCGGGAGGTCATGAATCACCATGTTGTTGGCATTTAGATTTGTACACCCCGTCTCAATTATACTTGTTTTTTTTTCCTTTGCATTTTCTAGCATTTTTTCTCTTGATTGCAAGGGTCTGCCCAAAAATAGCTCATGGGATGTGGGTCATCTTGCTTGTTTCAGGAGATTTCCGCTCTTCTTTCTGGTCAGCTTACCAATGTTGACGTCGAGGAAGCTGAACAAGAGCTGGAGCAATTATTGGCAGCACAGATCAGCGATGTCAAACTGCCAGATGTTCCAACTCATGACCTGCCAGAGAGACAAAGAGGTACTTGGTTTTATTTACAATGTCCTCTATGGTTTTTAAACTAAAACTTTCAGAGAAAGCGCCTGCGAGTAAAAAACGCGAAGCGGTGATGACTGAAGTGTAAATGCTGTAAATACTATGCTTACATTTTTCACATGACTCTTATGCTATTCAATCGTACCTGTGATACGTCACGCTTGTATGCGTAGATATATGATCGAGGTTTCTATTTCACTTTGAGAAATGGTCGCTCTCTTTCAATGACAGTATTATCTCATTCCTAGTATGCATCTTGTAAAAAGCCAAGTGCCCCGTTTTCTTTTACAATGTTGATTTGTATCGAGGTTCGGTCAAAACTCTTTTGTTGGACTGTTTTCTCAAATTTCGATTTTCATCCATTCAAATGCTTGTAATAAATTTTCTGCTAGACATATTGTTTAACGCTATCAACGCAGTAGTAGGTTCGTTTCTATTCTTGCTTTTGAAATACTGTTTGAACAGCTAGTCGTTGTTGTTCCAAGTCAAACATGATGCATATCGTTTTTTTCTACTCTGTTAAGCGGGCTTGCCAAAAAGCCCAAAATTTGGTGTTTATGATGACGAAATTATTGTTGATGTAGTTGATGTAGTAGGGCAAATCGAAATCAGATAGTTTGCTTGCCAATGATCAACAAAAGGAATTGTTAGAATTTTTTGCTAAATCTACTTGTGAGGGCCAGAAAGAATCTGTAATCTGTACTGAAAGAAAGAACTTTTGTAGAAGAAAGTAATGCTTACTAAGTGATTGGATGATTCTGTGATTCATCGTATTTTAAGTA